AACATCCTTGTAATGACATTTTTTGAAAGTAAACCATGCCTATATCTTGTCCTTTTGTCTCTTTCCAGGTGTCAGCCCGGCTGGCAGGGCGCTCTCTGCAACCAGTGCGTGCCTTTCCCCGGCTGCCTGCACGGCACCTGTGCCAAGCCCTGGCAGTGCCTCTGCGACGAGGGCTGGGTTGGCAGCCTCTGCGACATAGGTTTGCACGCACTTTCCTCTCCTTGCACAAGTGAGGTGAAGCAGCTCCCTCTGGTGCTGCAATCGTGCAAAAATCCTCCTACCTAGCATTATTATCATTACTTTGTTAATAAATGTTAAGCCGAAACATAGTAAGGTGATACGGGGCAGCGGCACAGAAGCCATAGTTTAGGCAGAAGCATGTAGTGTCTTCTGTCACTAGGCAAGTGAGCAAGCAAGGTGGGAAAGTGTCATTCTCTTTTAAAGATTGATTGCTGTAGAGAAAGTTAGGAAATTACTGGCTAACTTTTTGTCATCTAGTCTTGTCATATAGTCAGGTCTTATTTTCCAAAACTGCATCTTCTTTTACATATTAAATCAATTGAATTTTTTATCTGACATATTAGGTATGATAATTTCTGTACAGACAGATATGAGCATAGTACTTAAGCCAATTTCTTCTTGCAAGGGAAAATCCCATGCTCATCTTGCTGTTTACTTAACCCCATGATGATTCAGTGGAGTAGCATTAGCACAACTGAGAAGAAGGTCTGTCTGAACAGGCTATCACCTCGCTCTCAGATCCAAGGGGTAAGCACAGCTCTTGTGCGCACTCCCTGACCTCTTCCCAGTCAAAATGAGCCAGCTTAGCATAAGCAATTTGAAGAATCAACCTCTGCTGAGATGGTTTATTTTGGCTGACAAGGGCAAATGAGTGATCAGTCAACAGATACAAGAGGACAGGAGAAACCGCACAAGCATCTTAGACACGTGTGTCTTTCTAGCTAGTACAGCTGCAACTGGAAGAGGTCAAGTTGCTGTTTGTTTGTTTGTTTTCTTGTCGTTAGGGCTTTGGTCACTATAGGACTTAACATTTATAGAGCATGTTCTGCCATTTAACACCCAAAACAGTAATAAATGACAATAGAATTTGAATGGGATAAAATTTAGAAGAAAACCAAAAGACTCAAGATTTCAGCGCTCTCACATCTCCACGATGTCCTACAGCTTGGTGCTCAGGTACTCGCTCAGCTTCTCTTCAGGTTTTGCACACATAGATGTATCCAACCTACTAAGTTTAAACCTAGTTCAGGTACATATATAGGGGCTGCAGTAGCATCAGTGTGGCTATGACTGGGGGCTCTCCGAGATAATTGCTTTAATTATGTAGCTCTAGATGCCTCTGATTGATAGAGTATGAGAGCTTATACCTGAAACAGCTCTCTAGATCTCATTACAATTAGTGAGGAGAAATGGGTCCCTCTGCAGTCCGATATATCTCACCCTAACCTAGAAATAGGTCACTGTCTTTAATTAGAACCAGCTCAGAAAATGTGAAACTAATAGTTGAAGATGTCAAGGTGTACAATCATAGATTAGTAACATTAAATAGCATGACTTCCTCCTTCCATCACTTTAGGAGGCTCATCTCTGTTACCTATCAATGACTCCAAAGGCCCAGATTTTAAAAAAGGCTATGAAAACATTTAAAGATATCTACATGAACTATGTCTTCAAGCTGGGCATAAAAGTCATATTAAGTGCCTAGCCGAGTTTCTAGACTCTTTCATGCCTTAGCAATTCTGAACCCTGCAACTTTCTGCTCTTGCATCTGCTGCTTAGTCTGCAAAAGTCTATTTAGCAAATTATACCCATATCTTTATGGAAAAATGTTATTTTAAAAGGTATTAATTAAAATAGCTCTGTAATTACAAACATGATATCCCTTGTTTAAGTCCAGAAACTATTATTTTTCTCAATGCTCAGAGTCAGTTCAGAGTTTTCTTTGACAGTTTAAGCCTAGATCCCCAAGCAGAGGTGCCAAGAATATTCAGTCATAAAGAATTAACCATGTTTTCATCTGTGTGAACATGTTGAGTTTCAGGTCTTTAACTTCAGTGGATTTATCTACTCTAAATGCATTGTCTCGTACAAGGGATTAGGATAAGGGTCCTCCTTTCCTACTGCTTGATGATTATGAAGAATTGTTATCCTGAGCCAGGAAAGCGTCATAATCTCAAATGGGGTTAACTGCTCACCTCTGATCAGATGATCCGCGGCTGAAAAGTTGGTCTCTTGGGTCTGTAAAGATGTTACCAACTGCTGTAACTCACCCATTAACAGGAAGCACAAAATGCAACTTGATCAGATTAGGAAAAGGGACAATTTGGGACCGTTGAGATATATATATGAATGACTTTTCAATGTGGAAATGCAAACCTGTCAGTCTCTTATGTAAAACACCAGACTCTTGCCCCTGTCTTCTAGGAAGTTTTTTATCTGATAAGAAGGGGACACAATTGTTATGTTTTCACATGCAAATGACATTGAAGTGGCACTTCTCAGCTTCTGGAGTTAATCTTTGGGTTTAAGCATATGATGAGACAACCCATGTTATAAAGTTGTAATTCTATTTTTTTTTGTAGAGATTCAAAAAGGATCATGAGTAATGCAGTTTTGGCATCGTTTTGAAATTAATCTCTTTTTTGCTGCTATAGAAAATATGTATATTTGCCAGGGCAATTTTGGCATAGCCACTGCTTTGATGTAGCCAACTGAGGGAAGGCCAACTCACAAGGCTGGTAAAATCTGGAATGGAGATATGCGGCAGGATCTGGAGTTCACTTGACTACTGCTGTAAATTTTTGAAATACTTTTAAATTTAGAAATTCTATTTGGGATGTGAACTTTCCTCACAAAGCTACTCAGTGACTGTGTCATGCACTGAAACATGAAAATTTAGATTTCATATGAATATTAATTAATTTGATGGTAATGTGGGTATTCTTATTTATATTATATAAATATTACTTATGTCATGTAAATGTAGTCTTTTTTTGAAGTCTCATCTTTTAGACAGTCATCATTCATAAGGAGTAAATCTTGATCTTTGAGTTTGAGAAGATAAATAGAGAAAATAATAGAGAAATTGGGCTACTCGGCTATTTATTTAGGTTTTAATAAAGATCTATTCCTCTAAATTTTTAAGTTGTGTTTTAAATTTAAACTTTTATACATCTTTGAAATTATTTTTAATATTATTTGACAGTGCATATATATGCATATGTGTGTGCATGTGTTTATGCATATATATGTGTATATAGGTATGTATGTGCATATATTTATATATATATGTATATGTACACATATATATCAGTGAGTATTCTTTTTCATACATCAGCATTCATATTTGCTTTGTTGCCTTTAAAGCCTGCCAAATTATGTGGTGAGCAACTCTGTTCCAGAAAGCATTCAAGGTTGTTTTGGTTCTTTTGAACATTGGAGCTAAGACTCAAACCATGTGCAAAATGGTTGTGTTGCAACGAAAACAGGCTATAACTACCAAATTAGGTGTTGAACAACTCTTCTCCAAAAGGCTTTCAGGGTTGTTCTTGTTCTTTTGGATATTGGAGCTTACACTCAAAGTGCACGCCAAATGGCTGTGTTGCAATGAGAAGAGTCTACTATATTAGAAAATAGAGCTTTTCATCCAGGGAAGATTGTATTCTAAAACAATGTTGAAATGTTTTGCTATGGTAAAAATTTTGCAGTAACTTATGATATCATCTGAGAGTCATACAGTGCTGTGGGAAGTAGAATATAAATGTCCTTAAAATCCCTTATCATCTTTTTGGAAAGTGTAGGTGTGCACATGAGCATGCAAGTTGTGTCAGATAACTTGACGTCAGTATGTCACTGCAGCTGCTCCATTAGGTGGTTCAAATATTGACCTTTTATTTATTTTTAATTAATTTAATTACTTTAAAAGTTCAGTAATTGTTCAGGACCATGAAGGGGCAACAGGGGAATTGTAAAGGAAATGATACGTAACTTTTGAGTCAAACATGTCATACAGCTCTCTCTCAAAATAAATTTTGAGAGATTTTGTAATTTGCTGATGTTTGTTGTTATGAAATATTTGTACATGAGCACATAGCATTAGGATCTTAGGCAGGGAGCGGGGAGAATTCCTGGCTGGCTATGCTTTATCAGAATTCTGTGCATGGAGATGCTGAGAATATGAACGAAATGACTGTATTACTGAGATGTTCTTTCTCCTCTACTAATATTTTATTGATAATATTACTTATTTATAGACTAGAACAAACCTATTTTATAAGAGGGAACTAGGAGAAAAGAACCAAGCTGAAAGTGCTTACAATAATAATAAGAAGAACCTGCATTCCATTTTAACAGAAGAAATAAATTACAATGTGTAAATGCATCATGAAGGATCATTAAAGGCATATTTTATTTAATGTATTGTTTACTGTTTAATTATTATTTCTCATTTGATTAATTGAGTTCTGTTTTTACTCATCTGCTGCCTGTTTAGCATTGCATTACAATGTTAATAGAACAAAATACATATGTTTTTAAACAGATATTCACCCATGTTCTGCAAAGCCCTGCACCAATAACTCAACCTGCATAGAAACTGGTGATGGAGGATATAATTGTTTGTGTGCCCAGGGATTTACAGGAAAAAACTGCCATCTCAGGAAAGGACCCTGCATTATTAATGGGTAAATATTGATTTCTCATGTGAATTTATAATCCCGACTTGTGTGGGGAATTGCTTCTGTGTAGGAACCAACTATTCTTCAATTTCTTTGTTAAGCGGAAATACATTTATGCTAGAATATACAGTGCTTCTGCTATGATTGATTGATTATGTTGTCAATGTTTTCATCAAAGTTTACAAATCTGATCCATTCATAGTTTAAAGATTTACAGTCTATTATCATGAGTTCATGGGCATAATTTGAGTGCTATAGTAATACATTGCATATTTTGTTGTGATTTTAGTAAACAAATTTCAAGGTACTTCCTATCCTTTATTCTCATCTCTAGTGAGAGATAATTATATACACCATTCAGGCAAAGGAATAACAGCAGCCAGTCCATAAGCTCTCTGCACAAAGATACCCAGTCCACCCTCTTGTCATTTGTTTAACTGAAATATAACGGTATGTCCGTTCTAGTCAAGGAGATAATTTCATTTTAACCAAAACAGGAATGGGAGAACATGGTAGGATTTTACTTTCCAGTCTAAAAGAGCAATGGGATATTTGGAATAATATGGCCAGCAGGTCAAAAGACATGATGCTTCCCCTCTGCTCTGCCCAGTACAAGAAAGACATGGACATGCTAGATGGAGTCCAGCAGATGTCCATGAAGATGATTGTCTGTTACAGAAGAAGAAACTGAGAGAGCTGGAACTGTTTAGACTGGAGATGAGGTGGGGATCTCTCTGATTGATATACATAAACACCAAATGGGCAGGTGTAAAGAAGATGATATTAATTTGGCACATCTTGCATCAACTTCTAACTTTGTGCATAATTAGATCCACATATCCTCATATCCTTCAGCCTCCTAAAAAGCCCATCCAACAAGAGGAGCTCTCAGTAGGCTCTAAACCCTAAAAAGTATGACCTGTTTGTTTGGGGAATTGGTTTCTCCAGCACTGAAGTTTTCTGTTTAGAACAAATTTTTTGCAGTCCTTTTTATTTGAGCAAAAGCATCCTTATCTTGAGCATATTCCTTGTTCCCAGCTGGGACAGTTAAAGTTTGGAGAATCCAGATGACCATTTATTTATTCAGTTGTCCACATTTGTAAAAGTGCATGTTGTTTGCTGGTCCTCCTTAAAAGCCCAGTGAAATTAAGTTACTTCAATGACTGACTGATATGGGCCACATTCTGTGTGAGCTACCCATTAGACTAATGCTTCAGTACTTTTTACTCATATATATATTTCTTAACAGTGAGGTGACAGAGCACTGGAACGGGCTGCCCAGAGAGGTTGTTGAGTCTCCTTCTCTGGAGATCTTCAGAAGTCACTTGGATGCAGTCCTGTGCTACGTGCTCTAGGTGACCCTGCATGTGCAGGGGGGTTGGACTAGATGATCTCTAGAGGTCCCTTCCAACCTTAACGATTCTATGATTCTATGATATATATAATAAGGATGCATTAGGAGGTGGCCAGTTATGTATTTGATTAGCCCTTCATCTGCTCATCTGTTCTAACAATACACTATTACAGTATCTAAATGTGCAAATTAGGCACACATGCATTTGCATAAGAGTAGCCATATATGCACATAGAATATTTGTATTAGGACATATTAAATAATTTTCAGATCTGATATGTGAAGTTATTCTATAATGTCCAATCTAAATCTCTTGAGTACTTAAATATAAATACATGTGTTAATGAAGCATGTAACAAAAGACTGACGAGGAAAGCATTTAGACGGTGACAATACAAATTTAGTATTCCAGCAGAAGATGAACTGAAGTTACTGTGGAAAAAATAGACTTCTAGCAAAAGACCTTTAGTAGACATACACGTGTGGTTTCGTTGTGATATGTTGACTGTGTATTATGCTCACAGTTTCAAGGATATTGATTTTCAGTATCACTGATAGAACTGTTAAAAGGATTTCTTTTTTATGCTAAATTGTAACCAAGTCTAATTGTGGAAACATAGAGGTACCTGTTCTCTTGTAATTCAGCAGTCATGTAGCCATAGGAAATGCCTTTTTGGTGGATATGGGCTTGGTAGAATTATTCTAATCTGACATGTTTTCTCTTCTTCTATGATTGCCTTGTGCCTCTACAGCTCTGTACTAACACCCTCTTGTTCTGCTTTAGCTCAGCAACAGAAAGTTACAAATCTTCAGATCTTCCTTATGGATAAATCTCCCTGAATTTTTGTACAGTCTTACATAAAGAAAATGTGTTATCATTAACTCTTTTCATTGTCTCTTGCAAGCATTGCCATTCTTCCCATTCTTATGTCTTTATGCCAGTGGAATTTTTTTTGCCATTGCTTTTCGTGGCAAATAGTCTCACAGGCCCGTGTGGGCTTGCTTTCAGCATCTGAGATAACTGCTCTGACTTACCTATTTCTCTTCATCAGCATCAACAGAGGTCCCTCACAAGTGCCTTGAATGACATCCAGGCTATTTGCTTAACATTGGTAGTGTGAATTGCTTTCCGTTTTTGCATTTCTTCTGTCCAGCAAATATTACAGTAATTCCATATGGACATATATTAACTATCTCAAAGAACAGGAAAGATAAATAGTAAAGATTAGTTCCATGTTTTTCATTTAAATCATCATGTTTTTAATTGCTGAAACTACATTTTGGTGACACTACTGTATATCCAGGTTGAATGCTCCTGAGCTAGTCAGAAAATGCAAATAAATTTTTATAATGGCTGGCTCTTGAAGCAATAATTCCCTTTCTCTGGGAATCTGTATCTTTTTTTCAGGGGAAAAAAGCATCATTCTCTACTAATCTGCTTTTAGGTGAAAAAGACAAGTGTTCCCAGCATAACCACTCAGTGTCTGATAATACTTTACAGTCTACAGTGAAGTGCACCTCACACATTGGTCAGAAATCATCTTGTGAGGTCGCTTCACTCATCTCATGCCTTCTTTTCTTCCTCAGTGATACAGTTATCAAAATTGATATTACTAAATATTGCCTTACTTAATTTTCATAAATCGAATGAAGAGACATCACTAATGAAAGTAGTTGCTTTAGTCTGTTTACAAAACCAGGCAGATGCATCTGCAGTAGTGACATCGGTGTGATGTTTCGAACTAGCAAAGTAGTAGTATGAAGCAGAGTAGAAAGAGGTTCACTTTTTAAAATGAAAGTGGAGTATTTGGAAAGCAACTGGAGCAGTATGTCCATGTTTCTGCAGCTATTCTTTTATGTACCACACCCAGCTGAACATGTCTGAAATGCCAAGCGTTTAAAATAATTTAATCCATGTATATTCAAGGAGATTAATTCTAATGCCTTATTTACATACTAAAACATACTAAAAGTTACGCAAATGCAATTTAGTATTAGTAAAAATAAAGAATACATGTCCAAAATTCTACATGTTTCATCTTAATTGCTTTTACTAAAACCTTGTATATGTATAAAACATGGAGAAAAAAAACTTTTCATGCTTAAATTCTCCAAAACTTTATTCCCAGTTTCCCCCATAGTTGATAAGGTAATCCAGTCCAGCCATGAGGCCCTGTCTTCTACGCTTTACTGTACCCAAAATGCATGTCTGATTTCCCATGGGATTCCTAAATTCAAGAGATGGTGCTAAATCCTTCAAGACTGATTGCGACCATTCTGTTACACAAGGTCCATACGTCAACTAAAACTTCCTTATTTTTCTTAAAGCAGAGGCAGTGCCTAGAGATCATGACAAAATTACCTGGATGAATGATCACCTCAAATTGTCAGCAGGCTCCTCTGATAGCTGCTTTGTGACAGCACCTTTGGCTTTCCCGGTACTGCTTCCAGAGCTCCAAGTTGTTCTTGAAGTAGTCTCTTTTTCCTGCAACTACAGGACTACATGAGAGGACAGAGCATATTGTTTTACGTGTTAGTAGCAAACAAGCATGCAACTTCTCTGCACAATACTCAGACTTTTCTGCTGAGGGACCACCAAGTGCTTCAGTCACCTGTAGAACTAGAGGATGCTCAGGGGAGTCTCTAGCATAGCTGCTCCCAGTGCAACAACTGGGCATTGAGGAGGCACAGGCATTATCCCACCAGTGGTCAGGGACCATTTGTAGTCAGGAGCTTATTCTCATTTACAGTCACCTCACTTGGGCATCAACAGATCTGTTAAATCCACTTCAAGACCCTCTGTGTGAATCTGTAATAGCTAGTTGCCACCGGCCATTGCATGTGTGAAAGGCCATTGTTGCCAGGTATAGTGAGCCTCGCTGCAGCTTATGCTGCCTTTTTTTCATGTCTGAAATTCATATTTTTAGAATGTAAACAGTAAAAACTTTTTTTCTTACATTATAAAGTTCTATTGAAGTGGCTTTGAGCTTCATCTGCTAACCTGTGCCCCACTTTTCATGCCAGCAGGGCCAGTCTTTTGGCCTTATGCCCATGAAGATAATGTTGTACTACATTTTTTTAAAAAAATGATGACATGATTTTATGTCACTTAGAATACCAGGCTACTAACAATTAAGCATTTCAATAATGTTAGTAGCAATTAAGCTATTTGCTTAATTGCTTTTGCAGAAATATTTGATGTAGTATTACATTTATATTTATTTATTACAATTTTCAAACATCTTTTGGCCAAATAGCAGTTTCCACAAAAGTATCTCTTCACCTTTAAATTTTCAGTGTGTCTCTGAGTGCTATAGAAGCAGAACAAAAACAAACACTTTCACATCAGGCTTCCAGGGCAGAGAGTTTTGCTTTGCCAATACAATACATAGCCTTGTTGCTAGTGTCTGTGTTCAGTCTTGTCTAAATAGTCATTCAGCTAAATAGCTCTAAGCATACGTAAAGAATGGGAAGCTTAATTTGAATAAATGTTTGAAATAATTTAAAATCCTTTTACAGCTCTTCAGGTAGTGGCATATTAATCTTGCCTAAAGGGTCAGCAGAATATATTATAATCTGTATTGACAAAGCTCTTGAACAAACTGACTTGATTGAAGTTCATTGACTTCTCTGGATTTGCATTAGGAATTGGCTCTTCTGAAGAAAACCAGCTCTTTTTATTATGCAAAGTGTTTCATAATGGTTGCTTTCATCAGATTTGATTCAGCTCTGTGTATATGTATTTGTTCTGGGTTCCAGCTCTCCCTGCCAGAATGGAGGAACCTGTGTTGACGACAATGGCTTTGCACCTCACGCTTCCTGCCTGTGCCCTTCTGGTTTTGCTGGCAATTTCTGCGAAATAGATACAGATGACTGTGAATCCAGCCCATGTGAAAATGGAGGAACGTGTACAGATATTGGTGCAGGATTCAGCTGTTTTTGCCCCCATGGCTATACAGGAAAAGTCTGTAGCAGCCAAGTCATCTTCTGTGCAAGTGGTCCATGTGAGAATGGAGGAACATGCCGTGAACATCCTCAGAGAGGTTACGAATGCATCTGCAAGCCAGAATTTGTTGGTGCAACCTGCAAACATCCCAGCAAAAACATAAGTCTCTCTGAGGTGAACAAGGAGACAGAGAATATGCAGAGTTACAACCCACCACAAAAAGTGCATCACAAATCAGTGCATCAAGAACATCAAGTCCTGAAAATAACAATGAAAGAAACAATCCAAAATGCAGATCCCTTGCTCAGTAAAAGTCAAGTGATATGTTTTGTTGTCCTGGGTTTACTTACATGTCTCGTAGTCTTGGGTACAACCGGCATTGTATTTTTTTCAAAATGTGAAATGTGGCTTGCGAATGCCAAATATAGTCATCTCCTACGCAAGAAAAAGAACTTTTTTCTGAAATCTAGCAATGGGGACAACCTCTCTGTTAATATTATCTTCCCAGAGAAGATCAAATTGACTAATTACACCAAGAACTATACTGCCATCTAGGCCCTCAAAAGCCTAGCAGAAATTTGCAAGTTTTCATAGCAATATGTAAAATAGATTGAACTTACTGCCTGAGACTGGCTTCAATATTTGTGTGTACAATTGCTGTAACTTGTGCTGAATGGTAAAGAAGAAATGTAATATGTCTGTTTCGCTGTGTGATTTTTTTTTCATTCCCCATAATAAAAAGTTAAGAAAAAGGGATTAAAGCGCAAGGAATGGTAATTTGATTTATTTTTAAGGCAGCTATTTAAAAGGTAATTTACCACTGGAACTGTTTTGTAGCTTTCTTGTCTTGTGCATAGTTTTTTTTGGCAAATATGGTACTTGTAAATTACTCACTGATGCTTATTTTTGAATAAATGGCAGTTAAGGGCTATATTGGTTTATTGATTGATTTGTAAATGTTGTTATGCTACAGCAAACCTATCACCTGTTTATTCTATATGTGATAAAGAGTTTAGAGAGTGGGGTAAATAGGAGCAAGTCTGGATCGATGTCTCATCTGTCCAGTCAGTTTTACTATTTTCACATAGCTACAAGATAGCTTACCTCTTCTGTATAATCTAGGAGGTCTTTGTAATATTATTTTTGGGTTAAAGATCTCTTAATTTAGATACTACCTCCAAAATTGTTTTAGCTATCAACAAAAATATTAAAAATGTGTTTGGTGTTTTGGTCAAAATTTTTATACAGAGACCAAACCAAAACCCAAAGGATCTGACTGACTTTTTAAGGAGTTCTGCAAAGAGAAGAGCTCAAATAATAGAGCTGCCTTAAATTCCTCATTTCTGCTTTTTCCTCTGTCACATTTCAAGAAGTGAGTAAGGTCTGCAAGAATCACAAGCAACACTAACATGCAATCAAGACTAATAGAAGCCACAAAATCTTTAGGGCTCTGAGGGCACAAACAGGCTCTAATGACCTGACCAGCCTCACCTGGGACTTCCAGCCATGCTACTGCCAATCAGCCTGGGCTCTATTTCAGCTTAGCCTAGGAGTCTCCCTTTTTTCTGGGCTCTGCTGCATCTCTTGCCTTCTGGATGAACCTTGGAGCCACACTGTGAGTAGTTTGTCTCCAGACAATTCTATCTTGTCTGAAGTTCTATTTCCTGCCTTTGTACATGTGTCTGTTGCCTTCAGTCCCATCTCCTTCTGCTCTTGACTGGAACCCCTGCATATTTGCTGGACCTGATTAATCACGTGTTACATCTAGGACTATAGATGGGCCCTGTTAGCAGTGTTATCTCTACCTTGCACACAGCCCTGGCAGGACTGTGTCACTATGACAAAAGCTCAGCCTGCATTGGAGTTACCTCAGCTTCTCCTTCTCCATCCTCATAGAGCAGCTTTGCTCTCTCCACTCACTGAAAATGTTTTTATCTCAACTGTGATTCTTAAAGGTGTATTTAGATGCTATTAATTAACAGCTTACTGCTTCAGCCACCCCAGATAGGAAAGATTAGCATCTTCTTCTGTGCTGATAACTATGCGGCTCCCAAATCTAATAAGAGCTGATCAAAAATAAAAAGCTTTAAAGCACAGTTCATTATCTTAAAATATTTTCTGTTGGCATGTCTCTGAATTGCTCTGAGTACATGGCAAGCTAGCTGTATTGGTGACTATGTTCATACATGTTGTAATACATTTACAATGTAGTGCAAAGTCAACAATCAGAAAAAATGTTGCGTGTAGAGGTAATGCTGTTGAAAGTATTGACTTCTGGGTAACAGGATGAAAATTTCAAAACAAGTAGATATTTCCCCCCCAAAAATCTTGTTGAGAAGACCCATGTTAATCAATAGTAGAAACTTTTAAATTAGTCTTTCAGTCAAAGATCAAACCTGGCAGTCCAGAAGAAAGTTAACCCAGCAGTGTTTAGTAGCCTTTAAGCCAGACTAAATATGAACTTGGGGAGTGAGCTCCCTTTTTTTAGGGAATATAATCTGGTTTTGTTCATTCTAATATGTGATCTGATATGTGATAAAAGTATGTCCAGATAAACCTGAAGTTAATCAGCAATGGCCTTCACACTCCTCCCTTGCTCCGAGTAGCATTCCCATGGCTGTCACCCTAGCACTGCACTGCTTTCCTCTCCTTGTGACACAGCTGCCATCAGCCCTTGCAGCTCTAAGGACTCTCCTTCAGACTAGAGAAAGGCTTTGAGTGATAAGCTTGTGTTTAAAATATAAAATGTAGGGAATTATTCTCATATTTATGAACTATGAACTATCATATGTTATTTGGCTATGGTAAACCTCTTGGCAGCTCCTCTATCATAGTTAGTGTATTTCCCAATATATAGACAGGAGATCCTCTTTGAAGAGTCGGTCAGTGACTCAGCATTGAAAGAATTGTGCTTTTGGCACCCGATATCCTTCCTATCTTTGCAGTATCAATGAAGAAGTTTAAGAAGCTCATATAGTCTCACTACACTCTCAGAAGTGAAAAAGTCTTATCTTAAACATGAAAGGAAAAAAAAATCTGTCTTTAATTCTTCTCTGGAACAGAGCTTGACATATGTATGGGAGTTTGTCATAGCTGTGGTGTTATGGCAGTGAATAGTTCCAAAACTGCATAAATGATAGAGAACTAGAGTTCTCTATCAAACTTAGGCAAACTTAACTTGAGGAAGGCTACAGTATTTAAAGCAGTCCCTGCAACAGGTCTCAAAAGCAAAAAAAATTCTTAAATCTGCTTTGTACAGAAACACTGACACAATGGCAAAAAGGTAACAAGGAGCACTGATGTAATTTCATTTTTTAACAAATAATTTGATTATTATTAATGAAATAGCAAACAGAAAGCAATATACCTGTTATGTTCAATGCCAGAGGTGCTGTCCTTGATGAGCTGTATTATTTCATCTCACCTTTTTGCTTTCTTAATGCACTCATTTAGTCAAGCAAAATTCTCTGAGCCCTCCTCAGCCCTTATCTCTTCCATGGAAAGATGACAGGCATCTTTGCCTGGAAAAAATAAATTAAAAAAAAAATGAGGAAACTGAACTGAGTTATAAGTTGAGAAATTTTGAACTTACCAGCTACTGAGCTCCTTCTTTCCCCTAAACAATAGGAGAATATGTCAAAGATTCTTCACATTATCCAACTCTGAGAGGCACTTTAAATTTTCTGCTATAGTAACAGAAAAGAGCTGTAGGTATTACATAAAATGAAGGGTTTTGAATAATTTTTTTTTTCAGAGCAGTGGCAAGGAAGATGTCTGCCTGATGTGAAATGGTCATTACCATATATGTACATGTTATTGATTTAATTGAGGAAAAGCCTTGACATTAAGATTGTTATGAAAATAAACAATTGTAAATGATTTTATTTATATAAATAGATTTAAAGAAGTAGAGAGGCCTTTAGTCTAAGGAAATTGAATGCTTTAGAAGAGGCCATGGAGTTTCATGAGGTTTTGTTGTAGTGATTAATGATTTATGCCTGACTAAAGAATGTCATAGAGAAGGCCTGGTTATCAGTAATTCATTTCACATGTTATCAAGGAATTATTACATGCTGAGAAAAATGCCCCCAACAACATGCTATTTGCAGGACTTTAGTAATCTTTTCTTCATTTATCCTACTACATTCATTTTATTACAAAAATAAAACTTTGCATAGGATAAAAATATATCTCAATAGAAATTATGTACATTTTTTACTGTAGTTTTTGATAACTATGTATATTTTAATCTGGTATGTATTGATTTTTTTTGTTGTTAATAAGGATACTATTTGGAAAAGAGAAACCATCTGCTGAGCTGCCTGGCTGATCCATTCTTCTAGGCTGATATCTATGGTGTCTTTACAAGATGCTATTTACCTGTGCTGGACCATGGTATTCCCAGCTGAAATAAACCTTGAGGTTTTAAGGGTCAAGCAGTGTTAACAACCTGTCTGCAGCCTCCCTGTAATATGTGCAAACAATCACTGAATGGAGTGGCCCAGACGTATTGGTTGGGTAAGATAGTCATAACATAACTGTACCCTTTCATCTCCAAGCCTTTATTTTGCCAGGGCTGTGGTAAAATTTGTCATCTTAACCTTGAAGACTAAACAACTTGGTGCAGATATGGGGCTCCAATCTTTCATCTAGATTTTTCATGAGACATGTATTTGTTTTCCTTTTCCCAAATTTCTCTCTATCAAATTGTATGTTATATGATTCTTTTAAAACTTTGCAAGGAGTGGGGGAAAATTTCATATGAAGAAAATTATTTCTGTGTCAGAGCTGTGCTCTAGAAGTAAAAGAAAACAATAAAGATATCTTTGATCACTTGCCCTGAAGCTCAAACATATTGACTTTTTCTTCCATCTCACTCCTGTATATATTCTTCAATGATGAAACATTATTTTCCAAAGATCATATCTAAGCTGGGGTCCTGGCCATGGCCATGGAAACACAGTGTAGTCTCCTAGTCCTTTCTCTTAATAAGGCAAGAGATATTTTGCAGACAGAGCAGTGCTTTCAGTCAATTGTGCAAATCTGAGTAATTTTCAACTTGCTGAAGTATGAAGGAAGTATTTTATAGGAATACACACACACATGTATACATATACACATAAACTAAATCAAGATTAAACAGAAATTTGGGCTAGACCAAGCCATATTTTAAAATACTTTGGTGTATGTAACTTAGAGGGGAAAAAATACTATAGTCTTCCTCTCTCCAACTTGTTTTCTCAATATCCTATTACTTGTAACCTTCTACTGTGCATGTCCACTTGATGGCAGTATTTGATCAGAGAATCATCTGTAAACCTTTAAATTATGCACGTTCCATATTTTGTGTCAGGATGTTTGCAAGCCATCCACAGGCTTTTGCCCCTGAAAAGAGCAAAAAGAAATGAGAACCTGCCTGTGGTTCTTCACTTACAAGGTCATGAGCAGGAATTACCTGGGACATGCAGCGAAACCCAAGCCACATCTGCATGGCTAGGCTGCAGATCCCAAGAGGATTGCAAGGCTACTTTCAAATTAAATCAGAGTGGGGACTTGACTGCTACAAAGTCATGGCTTAATAATACTTTTGGAAAGGTTGCAACAACATGAATACCTGCTGTGGATTTTCTGCCATTTGACATGAACACATGCATACCTACATATTCACTGCAACAGCTGCATTTTGGTGGTCTACTCTCTGGTATACAAAATATATCCATTCATTGTGCCTG